TCATTAAGAGCATTAGTGACAAGGGTTTTATTAACGATTTAAATTTTATCACTAATAATAATTTGTAACGAAAAATAAAGATTTAATGATCAATAATTTAGTCACTAAATATGAATTTTTTGGTAGTGCCAATTCCTTTTCCACTGCAATTAATTTCAAATTTTTCTATAATTTGATGTGTTTAAAATCTCAAAATCATACAAACTTAAACTATTAAATAAAATAAATTCTTAAATATTAAGACTTTTTTTATCTAATAATTAAAGTTCAAAAACTCTAAACTAGCAGGCTCTACGCAGGTTTTATATGATGAAACAAGATATCATGAAATTCAATTAAAATGAAGTCCAATCTAAGCGCCTAACCTGGATGAAGAGTAAAGATGGCAAATTGAGATCAGAGCGAAGATCCGAAATCAGCTTCTCCATGTTCCCTTTATACGCCTCGGCATCCTCTTTCCTCACCGTATCGCTCTCCCCTTGGTACCACAAAACGGTCCGGATGGATCCCCCTCCCTTCACTGACTCTTTTGTCCTGTTAACCAACTGATTGTACAGCTGGGTTCCCCTTGCCCACGTGTTGATCGCTGTTCCACCTACGGCGCAAGGGACCAGACCCACCACCCCAATTTTCGAACTGCGGGCTCGAATTTCATTGGCAAAAGCCATCCCAGGACCAACCCCACATGTCCCACCCACGTCGATGTCTACATGAAGTGGCTCGTGGGCTTCTTCCCAACCGAGCTTAGCATTTAAGCGGAGAATGGAGGGATTGGGCGCGCACTCCGGAGGGACTACTCCGTCCCATTTGTTGTCAGTAACGCCGCCTCTGCCTGCCATGTTGCTCTGTCCAGCTAGGATGAAGATATCATCTGGAGTGTTGCTGGCCCCTGAAGCAGAATGGGCTAATAGCGATAGAAACAGATAAGAGATCAACTCCATTGTCTTCAAGGTTATCTGAAAAATATTGTGAATTTATATAATCACAGTACTAATGATGTTGAAAACAAATAAGTGAAAATATGGAAAAAAAAAATTCATGGGTTCATCCATCTATGTATAGGCTTAT